ATTGGTCCTTCCACCCCACTGAGTGTTGATATTTTAATGTAATTTTACATTGCAACATAGAAACATAAATTTAGACCTAGATTTCATAGGTCTATAGTTTTTAACCAACTTTTGAAGTATAATGCATGTATAAAGTAAATTTTAAAATCCTACAAAAATACTAAACCCTTAACAATATCAATTTATGATTTTGTGGGTGAACCAAAACATTTTTGATAGGCTTGGTGGACGATACTGCTTAGTGCTGATACTAAGTCTGTTTCTGTATTTTAACTTCAATAATATTTGTGTAGGAAACTTCTATTCATATAAGGTTATGTAAAATGTTACAGATAACATCAAGATTTTTCTCTTTTTCTATTTAGGATCATCAAAAGCTCTGCTAGGATGCAATTTTTCAATATAAATTTCAATGAGGTATGTTTTGATAGTTACATAGTGCTTTATATTCACATAGAGATGTGTCTGTTGCAACATTATTAAAATGTTTAACTCACTATATAATCATTGCTTTGAATTCAGAGTATGAAAAAATATTATCTTTACAAATTTATCACATAAATACTTGGTATCATATACCTTACTAGAGGCCCGGTGCATGAATTCATGCACCAGTGGGGTCCCTCGGCCTGGCCTGTGGGATTGGACTGAAACCGGCTCTCCCACATCCCCCATGGGGTCCCAGATTGCGAGAGGGTGCAGGCCAGGCTGAGGGATCCCACTGGTGCACAATTTGGGCCAGGGAGGGATGCAGGGGGTTGGCCAGGGACCTCAGGAAGGCTCCAGGGCGTGTCTGGCCCATCTCACTCAGTCCTGATTAGCCGGATCCCAACAGCAAGCTAACCTACAGGTCGTAATGTCTGCCCCCTGTGGTCAGTGCACATCATAGTGACTGGTCGACTGTCTGCCCCCTGGTGGTCAGTGCATGTCATAGGGAGCGGTTGAGTGGCCTTAGCATATCATTAGCATAATATGCTTTGATTGGTTGAACAGACAACTAGACACTTAGCATATTAGGCTTTTATTATACAGGATAACTAATGACCTGTTGCATTTTGGGGCATACAAAAGTATCTCTTAATGAGTGTAAAATATATTTTCCTTTCAGTTCAGAATGCATGACTTACCACAATGAGACCCTAGTCAGTTCTTCCAATCCATTTCTCTCTTTGATTGTAAAACTTTATCTGAACACTGGGGATAATGTTATATAGCCTTCACTCTAGACACATCTGTCCACAGGCAACAAAAACAAAGTCATTGGAATTCCATGGCAGTAACTGATTGTAAAGCCTCTATCCCGATGATCTGGAATATGTCCATGTTTGTAGTTTGTTTTCAATATAACATTTCTGATAGAGACCCTCTAATAATGCATACACTGATCTTAGACTGAGAAAAATGTATATTTTTCCAAGATTTGAAATCAGACTTAACTGGGTTTGAATACTAGGTCCGATGACTCATAACTCTACTCTTGCCAAGTTTGCTTAATATCTCTAAGCCTCAATATCTTAATCAGAAAGATGACCTGGCAAAGTTTCTGTGAAATCAAATGAAACAATTAATATAAACTTCCAACTCCTTAGATATTCCCTCTGTTCTTCCAATTAATCATTAAGTTGACTTGAATATATTTTCTGCATGGTTACCTAGTAAGGTATCTTACATATAGAAAAACCTAATGGAGAATACCATGTAATATATAATATAATACATTATGTATTACTTTTACATACACACACACACCCAAAGAGAGAGACGGGGCTTTTTAAGTGCATAATTTCATTTTTGAAGAATGTGGAAGTAATCAAACAGAAGTGGTTAGCATTGTGAAAAGAAAGATACACACATAACAACATTACAGAGACATGCTAGAAATATAGCCTACTCTGACAAAATTAAACCTCATTAGGCTAGAAGTTTGTAAAGTTGGTGCCTTAGCTTATTATTCCCAGTCTGACTTTTCTAATAATGAAGTGTTGACAGGGGTATTCAAGTTTGAGGTTTTTCAAATTCCAGATTTTTTTAAAGACCCAAAGAGGATATTTTATACGTACATCTAAAATAAGATTTATACACAAATAATTATAAAGGAAATAGAGTGAGTTTGATGTTAGTGTAAGTTCCTCCTCACTAAGAATTTCGTGATAAACTTAGTGTGGTTAAGGAATAGCCCAATAGCCTATCTGCAGGTCAGCCTTGATCCACCTCAGTGACCCTACTTCTTGTCTGAAGCTACCTGGCTAGACCTCTCTCTCACAGCTTACCTCAGTGTCTCTGTTACTATTACTATTAGCCTTTCACTTGAAACCTCTATAATTTTATTAACCAATGTCACCCCATAAATTTAACTCTTAAAAAGAAGAAAAAAGTGTATGGGACCTGAAGTTAAATGTGTGGATTTGAATTCTGGCCCAACAATTTACAAGGGCAAACCATTTAAACGCTGAGCCTCATGTTCCTCATTAATAAAATGAAGACACTAATAGTACCTATCTCAAAATATTGTTGTAGCCAGGCTGGCCTGGCTCGGTGGTTGAGCATTGACCTCTTAGCCAGAAGGATACGGTTCAATTCCCAGTCAGGGCACATGCCCAGGTTGCGGCCTTCATCCCCAGTGTGAGGTGTGCAAGAGGCAGGCAATCAATGATTCTCAAAATTGTTGTAAATATAAACAAAACTACAGGCAAACTTACTATGTGGTTCATGGGAATTTGACAAATATTTTTTAAAAGAATTTACTATTAAAATGCCAGGTGGATTTGAAAACAAAACAAAACAAAAAACAGAGACATGGATACATGGAACAGACTGACAGCTGTCAGAGGGAAGAGAGTTTGGGGGACTGGATGAAAGAAAGTTAAAGGATTAAGAAAAAAAAAAAAATATATATATATATGACACATAAACACAACAGTTTGATGACAGCCAGAGGAAAATGGGGGGATGGGGGGCGGGAGTAGGTGGAGGTGGGCAAAGTGGGGGGAATGGGACAAAAAAGACTCTTTGCTTGGGGGGTGCACGATGCAGTACGCAGATGATATTTTATCAAGTTGTTCACTTGAAACCTGTATGGTTTTGTTAATCAGTGTCACCCCAATAAATTCAATTAAAAAAGGCCCTAGCCAGTTTTGCTCAGTGGATAGAGTGTCAGCCTATGGACACAGGTTCCTGCGTTCAGTTCCAATCAAGAGCATGTACCTTGGTTGCAGGCTTCTCCCTGGCCTGGGCCCTGGCTAGGGTGGGTGCAGGAGGCAACCAATCAATGTGTTTCTCTCACATCAATGTTTCTCTCTGTCTTTCCCTCTCTCTTCACTCTCTAAAAGATCAATGGAAAAATATCCTCGGGTAGGGATTAACCAAAGAAATAAAAAATAAAAAAGGAAGCAATTGAAATATTATCTAATCTTAGAAAAATAAGAATGGCTGTGTGATACTGTTACTTTCTCTCTCAAGCACAGTGCACTGTTCCTGCATTCTTTCTTGCAGGCATATTGTCTTTGGAGAAGATAGTGTTCTGTGGTACTCAAGGGCATGGCAAGATTATTTTGGCCATTTGTGGTAGAAAATATGATCTCTCCCTGTTTAGAGCACTAAGAAGTGCCTATGGAATATAAACTGAACACCTTTCCCCAAAAGAATTAGATCTAAAAATTAGCTTCATTAATGTAATGTATGCCTTTTATGTTTGTCACACTGGAACTTCTTAAATGTGATCAAGCAAATGAGATGAAAACTGCAAACTCAGACAGGGTGGTAGAAGGTGAAGGATATTTCTTTCCTCTGACTCAATGCTTGAGACCCCCTTTCCTGCTCTCTTCTTCTAGGGAAATAAATAATTGGTTAGGTGCTCAGAAGAGATCTGTAGATAATGCCAACATCAGTATAAACAGAGCCAAAGGGAGCATTGTTATATTATTACTTTTACTTAGTATCTGTTTCCTTTCCATATGTGTTTTGTGTTTGAAGCAAGAGATAAGGATGTAGGGGTGGGAAAGGTTAAGAAAAACAAATCACTTGCCCAGCCCACATGGCTCTGGTTGAGCGTCGACCTATGAACCAGGAGGTCATGGTTTGATTCCTGGTCAGGGCACATGCCTGGGTTGTGGGCTTGATCCCCAGTGTGGGTTGTGCAGGAGGCAGCCAATCATTGACTCTCTCATTGATATTTCTAACTCTCTCTCGCTCTCCCTTCCCCTCTGAAATCAATAAAAAAATATATATATATTTAAAAAAAGAAAAACAAATCACTTAAACATGGAATTTTTCATCAAACTTACATTGTATGAAAGAGGATATGATGAGAATCCTATATAATAAAAGCCTAATATGCTAAGTGTCTGGTCATCTGGTCATTCGTTCAACCAATCAAAGCATAATATGCTAATGATATACTAAGGCCACTCAGCTGCTCACTATGACATGCACTGATCACCAGGGGGCAGACAGTCTACCAGTCACTATAACGTGCACTGACCACCAGGAGGCAGACGCTCCAACAGGTAGGTTAGCTTGCTGCTGGAGTCCAGCCAATGGGGACTGAGTGAGATGGGCCGGACATGCCCTGAAGCCCTCCTGCGGTCTCACCCTGGCTGGCCAACTTCCCGCGTCCCTCCCCACCTTGATTGTGCACCAGTGGGGTCCCTTGACCTGGCCTGCACCCTCTCGCAATCTGGGACCCCTTGGAGGATGTCAGAGAGCCAGTTTCGGCTCAATCCCACAGGCCAGGCTGAGGGATCCCACTGATGCACGAATTCATGCACCGGGCCTCTAGTAGAAGATAATAGAGAATAGGAATTTATAGAAGGCATACACATCATAAAAAGGGAGAATTAATCTTCCATATATTCTATTCCTTGTTATAATAACCCCTGTTTCCTTTTCATCTTACTTCTCTTTTTCTTTTGTAATGTCCTAGATGGGAAGACAGATTTAGATTTTGCAAACTTGTACTTTGGTGAGAGTATGATTGAAATGCATTGTTAAGAAAGATTTTCAACACTCAGTGTGTCATTTCCCTTCTTCATGTATCAGATGCTGAAATACTATGTGATAAAGATTTTACATTTCAATTGTAAAAAGTGGGAAGTGGATAAATCAGTTCAGCCATCCTTAGGACAAACAGTAAAGTAAGTTTATTTTAATGTTTTTCCAAAATTCTATTAATTATATGTGTCTCCTCTGTGTCTGTGTGTGTGTAGGATGTGTGAGATATATATGTATATACACAAAATTAATCATTTCTAGTAGATTTTTTATTGTAGCACTAATAATTTCATTTGGTTGTTTCAATGATAAAAAAATAGAAATTTATGCTAGGTGTTCCATGAATGGAAACTATATGTGTGTACATAGAGATATACATAAAATATACTAAATACTTTGCAGGTTAAAATGGTAAGAAATTTTGAGCATATAACTGTATATTTTGTTGAAAAATATTGGCTTTATTCAAAATAGGATTAAATTCTTTAATTAGAAACATTTCCTTAATTTTCACATTATACTTGTGGCTTTAATTTAATATCTTTTATTAGCTTTACATGATAATGTAAGAACTATTGGTTGTGTATCTATCTATGCACTTCTCTGGACTAGTCATAGGGAAATATACACTCAAAATATAAAATACAGATACTATCTTCAGGAAGTTTATTATTTAACTTGAGCACCTTAATATAATATGATTAATATAATATAATATAATATAATATAATATAATATAATATAAAAACATATAATTTGGGTACCTTGACTAGTGTGAAAGTGTACAGACAACTACTATGGAAATATAGGAGAGGCCAAAATTACTTCAAAGAGAGAAAGGACTAATAAAAAAAATGTTCATGAATATGTTAGAATTTAGATTCATCTTAAAGAATGGGTAAGATTTACACAGCATAAAATGGGGATTAGTGTTCTGAGATAAAAAAAAAGTTATAGAACTGAGATTATAAATGCTTTATGCAATAGTTAGAAAGCTGATTTTCTGGAAGTACACACAAATCTAAGCTTCCTCACTCCTTAGTTTTACATTAACTAGTTATTCAAACCTTTTAGGTCTTGGCTTTTGAGCCTTGTAAAATGGAGACAATACTGCTCTATAACTAATGGAGCTGCTGTGAGGATAAAATAGAAAAGGTACAGATAAAAAGGAATTGTTATTTTAAAATAAAGGTGATTCATTGTTTTGATGGTTGTCTGTGTACCAGGCAATTTACAAAAATTATTTTAAGTCCTCACAATAAATCTTTAAATTAAAATTATAACCATATTTTACATATATATAGAAACTGCAATAAAATAAATTAAAATATTTGTCAAAGGTCACATAGTTCAGAAATTGCACAACTAATATTGAATCCTAGACTTAATACTAAAAAAAATGATGCTATTTTTCCTTCACTACCAAGGATGAACTTCAGTAGTACCCGGCACAATATAGTTATGTCCATTTCTTACCTTAATTTCTTCTATGAACACATTTCTTAAGTGTAGAGCTATTGGTTTCTCAAATATGTTAGTTATTTTCATTTTATACACATTTTTTAAACTTCTTATGCAAAATCAAAGTTTTTTTTAATAATAAAAGTTACAAAGTTATTATTTACCCCAAATCTTAAGGATAAAGTTAACCTTAAGAGTTTGATGACAAATCTAAATAGGGATGAGGGAACATTGGGGGGATAAGGACACATTTGTAATATCTTATTCGATAAAGGGGAAAAAAAAGAAGGAAGTCTGCATAAAATATATATTGCATATAAAGAGTTTATTCATATCTATATAAAGATCTCCTGAGGATGTATAAGCAATTGATATGAATAAACAAAACCCAAGAAGAAAAATAGTTACATGGAAATATCTCTTACAAACTAATAACAAAAAATACAAATAAAAGCCACCATGAGGTATTAACTCTTATCAAAGTCAAAATGATTCTAAAGTAAATATTATTGTTGAATAGTGGTGAATTTGTCTTAATATTGTCATACTCATATTTGACTGTAATCTTTGTAAATTTGTATGATCTTTATAAAGAGCAGTTAGGCAGTAGATACCAAGAAGTTTAAAATAGTTTTTCTGCTAACTGGTAGTTTTAACATATAGTGAATTATCTTAAAATAACATTTCAAAAGAAGGCAGATATGCAAATATTTACATTATCTATATTAGTAAATATTGTCCCCTAAAGGAGAAGGGAAAAATTAAAAATAATTACATTATAGAAAAACGACTATATAAATAAGATTCATATATTTAAAGAGTTATTATGTAGCCCATAATTATAAATTAAAAATTATTTGAAATATAAAATATTGATTTGATTTTAAGGGAAATATATAAGACCAAATGATAATGTCATTATGAATCAACTAAGTAACATGGATATTTTATATAAAAGACTCAAATTTTATATAAAAGTATGAAAGTATATTTTTCTTATATTAGGACACAGGATGCTGGAAACTTTCCCCCACGATAATATTGTTATCGTGTTTTTATTATAAGTAAACAAAAGGGAAAACGTAAAAGGCATGTTTCCAAACAAGTTAACATTGAAATTCTTTCACATGGATTTCCTGTCGTAGCTTCTGTAAACTCTTCACCCACTTTACTAAAAGCTGATATTGCAGAGATGTGTTTCACTTCTCATGAGAACACGCTTTTAATAGATAATACAAACTCAGAAGATTTCAGTCCTGTGTCCGTGCATTGACATTTGGTTGGACTTGTAACTCTATGTGAAGTTACTTTTTCTCTTAACCTTGAAAATAACATTTAAAGGCACCTTTGAATTGTGTAAATTGTTAACTGGCTGCTAACTTCATATGTGTATGTTCTTTAAAATTATTTAAAAATTGTAATCATAATGCAGTAAAGAACTGAAGTAATCTAGTAAATCTAATGAATGCGTTTGAGGCAAAGTGGGAACTTTGAGGGTGAAATGTTTTGTTTCAGTTTCCTATTTACACACGATTCAGAGAAAACCTTTTCATTTTCCAGTATATAAAAGAAAAACTTTAAAAATTTTCACAATAGTGAAATACAAACTTTGCTTGAGGCATAACCCTATATATGAAACCTAGTCATCTTGCAAAAAAATATTCTTTCATTAATTTATGAAATTTCTTATAATGTATTTATGTACTTAATTGGACTCTACCAAATGTAAGGAACTTTCTGGTCATTGAACTAAAGAAATAAACACTCCTGAATCATGGATCTAACTTGGGTGAAGGGAGACAGACAATAGACATGATGAATAAAAAAAATGTATTTCATTTCAGTTAGTGAAATTTTTTTTGAAAACCAAAACAAAAATTAAGCCAGGAAGGACTTGAGGAAGTAAAAGAGATATGTTGTAATTTTACATATGAGGCTCAAGAAATGTCACTCTGTGTAAGAGAGTGAGGTTTTAATGGGGAGCTGAGTGAGATGGGAAGGTGTTCACAGGTTTTGAGCAGTGGAGTGACATGATGTGACTTGTTTTGTGAAAGGAACACTCTACAGGTAAATGGAGAATAAATAAGCATATAAAATGGAAATAGTAAGAGTGAAGCTGAGAGACCAGTTGAGAAAGATGATGGAGCTCCAACCAGGATGGCAGAAGGGAAAGTGACAATAGATTGGATATGGAGCATGAGATAAGGAAGACCCCTAGATTTGGGCCATAAGGAAATCCAAGTTGTGATGCTGTTAGACCATTGCATATGAGGTCTGGAGTTAAGAGGAGAGTTCTGGACAACAGACATCGGTGTTAGAGTCATCAACCAGCCTTTAAGTTTGTATTTGAAGCAGTGAGGCTAGTGAGAACACCAAGGGGATGAATAATACAGAAAGAGGACAAGAACTGAGACCTGGCACAATCAATAAAACTTCCCTCAATGTACTATCTCAGTGCAATCTTCAGTATCTCTTCTCAGTAGAAGAGCATGAACATGACCAGATTTCTGGTTTACACACTCAAGGCCTGTCATTTTTACACATTTACTGTTTCTTGATTTCTCAAGAATCTCTTTCTTTATCATACCAAATTCCATGTAGCAAGCAGCTTATGGATGTCCTTGCATGCCTTGGAATACTTTGTCCTATTCCTTGACCCGGCTTTCTTCTAGCCTAGTGTCAAAAGTTCTTCCTTACCTTTAATGCTGATTCTTCTTCCTTTGCTTGTTCATTAAATATGTTTGTTCTCAAGTTTATGTTCTCCATATTATGTTCTCCATTTTTTCCTGAAACTTATTTTCTGTTTGATTTTTTCTCCTAGTATTTGTTAAAGTATTATATTTTGATGCTTGCTCATCAAGTCTTAATTTCCTTCTCTTTTTAAGTATCTCTTGGATTCTCCCCTTTTATTGCCAACTCTATTTCTACTACCAAAGGAGCCTAGCTGTGGTAGAGAAAAATGAGCTTAAATGAAAAAAAAAAAAAAAAGCTGGAATAGAGTGGAAAGAATGGAGGAGGAAGTCAGGAGTTGCCGTGCAATCAGATATGGGTCTGGTGGATGAGAGTGAACTAGAATAAACCCTGACCTCTGATTGACATGACTGTGCTGGGCCAGCATCTCTATTTACCTTTACATTTGACTTTTCCCTGTGTGTCTCTCACATAAAAATAGAAATAAATGATTATAATAAACAGATGATATAAATAGATATATGCCAACACCAATAAATCTTGGAAAAATAAAAATTAGGTTGATGTGGAAAACACACCGTTGTAGCTAATTATATTATTTTTTTTTCTGGTAGCTGGTGGCTCTGGGGTGGGTCTAGGCTTTCCTATGAGCTATCCTAACCTGACAAGAGCCTCCCTTTCCCACTCCAGACCTCTACTTTGTCCCGGAGGCCAGAGGTGTCTGTGTACAGTTGCTGGTTATTTGTGAACCTCAGCTGATGAGGACCCTGGCTCTCAAGTGGCTCAGCCCTCAGGTCCCTAAGTCCCACAGTCAGGCTCTCTCCTTCCTCAGGTTCACATGCCATGTGCTCCTGAAGGGCAGGCGCCAGACTCTGCTCAGGGATGTACTGGAAAGAGCATGGACTGTAAGTGAATGCTCTGCTATCTTGGACAGGTATGAGCTCTCTTCCTTCAGGCAAATTACCTGCCTTATGAACCCCAGTTTCCTCAT